CCTTGTTGGCTCCTATTACATTTTTTGCCCTCTCCTAAGCCTAACCTCCCTAACTCCTGCGGTGAGGACTTGAAGAAGGGATTAGGAACTAGCCGCATGGAAAAGTGAAGCACATGATGAGGGCAGAAAGAAGGGCTGGGGTCTTGCAGCAGGGAAGTAGTTGAGATCAGTTCTTCTTTAGTGTCCATAAACACTACTACTTCCCTGGCATAGTGCCACTCCATAGCAAACCATAGCCCAGGGGTCGGCAGCTTTTCAAAGAAGAGCGGCCATTTTTTTGGTTTCGTCTTTGACCAAAATATTTTGAGAGCTGCGCCACATGCAAAGATCCAGGCTGGTGGCAGGGAACTAGAGTACAGGAAGAGGAAAGGGGTTTGGACTAGGGGAGGGAGTTTTGGTGCGGAGAGTGGGTTTGGGGCTGGGGTAGGGGATTTGGGTGCAGGAGGGTTTGTGGGCCTGAGGGGAGAAGGGGGGTTCTGACCTGGCCCAGGGGATTGGAATGTGGGAGAAGGTGCGGGGTGCAGGTTATGGCCCAGAGGCACTTACCACAGGTGGCTCCTGGCCAGCAGTGCAGCAGAACTCAGGCAGGCTGGCTTGCATGCTGTGGTCCCATGCCAGTCCCAGAAGCAGGTGGCTGCTGGCACATCTTTGCATGCCTCAGGTTGGGGAGGGGAGAGCAGGTATCTGTGTGCTGCCTCTGCCTGTAAGCACTTCCTCAACAACTCCCATTGGCCAGTTTCCGGCCAATGGGAGCTGTAAGGATGGTGCTGAGGGCAGGGGTAGTGTGTAGAGCCATTCCCCCTGCCCTCCAGCCAGGGACATGCAAGGACTATTCCAGCCACTTCCAGGAGTGGTATGGGGCGACAGCATGCAGGCAGCCTACCTGAGCCCTGCTTCACTGTTGGACTTGCATTTATTCAGAAATTCTTCTCTTCCCTCCACCCTTCCCCAGAAAACACCTGCCTGCAAAGGGGCAGCTGAAAAGCCACATGTGGCTCTGGAGCCAGAGGTTGCAGACTCTTGCCATTAGCTGTTAGCCTACTCTGCAAGAGTTAAATTGCATAAGAGCACCTGTTAGAGATCTCTGTTTACACAGTGTTAGGTATGCTGGCTTACTGTTGTCGCTCCCTTTTCTCGGAATGTAATGCTGATCTCTCTCTTTGGTCCTCCTTTAATTGTTGACTGTGCTGCCCTGAAACCCAAGAGATATCAGGAGTTTGTCCTAATGCTGCTTCATAGACCATCAGGGTACAGTTAGAGGTGTTGCACCTTTTCCCCTGGGAAACCATAAATTACTGGGGCTCCTGAAGTTGGATCTCAGGGGCAGTGCAACATGCTTTCTCTTCTGTAATAGGTTGGCTCGAAGTTGTCACTGACATTAATTCCTACTTTGCACTTCCTCCCCCAGAGAAACATAAACCAATCTGAGAGAGGAGCTTATGGGTAGGGGATATTACTCTGTTGATGTTTAAATGTCACTTGCTTTTCCTCCACTCCTACAGATACTTGTGCTGTCTTATTGGCATGAGGTATATGCTGTGATTGGTCTGATTTATCGCTTTGTCTGGAAAGCCACTGACTATAATGACAGTTAAAATCAGTGGTGGATCATCCATGCTTTCTGATGGGACTGAGTCCTTGTCTGTACTTACCCGGAGAGCAATGCTCTGGGGATCAATCTTCTGGTGGTTGATTTAGTGGGTCTAGTAAGGACCTGCTAAATTGACTGTTGATGGGCATCCCTGCTGACCCTGGTACTCCATGGAGTCGCAAGGAGTAAGAGAAGTCAACTGGAGAGTTTCTCCCTTCGACCTCCCACAGTGGGGATGCCACTGTAAGTCAAGCTAAGGTATGTTGACTTCAGCTATGCTATGCATGTAGCCGGGGCTGCATATCTTAGTTTGAGGGGTAGCTGTGTTGGTCTGTAACTTTAAAAACAAGGCGTAGGCCTGTGGCATCTTAGGGTACGTCTAGACTACAGGGTTTTGTCGACAGAAGCTTTGTCGACAGATACTGTCGACAAAGCTTCTATCGACAAAGAGCGTCTAGACTACATCCAGTTCTGTCGACAAAGCAAGCCGCTTTGTCGACATAACAGTGTGGACACAAAGGACAATGTAGATGCAATAATGCCTTCTATCGACAGAACTCTGTCAACAAAAGGTGTTATTCCTCGTAGAATGAGGTTTACATATGTGGACATAACTCAAAGGCAGTGTGGACGCAGGTATAGTTTTGTCTACAAAAGTCCACTTTTGTCGACAAAACCCTGTAGTCTAGACACACCCTAAGAGACTAAGAAAAGTATATAGTATCATGAGCTTTCTTGGACAACACTCACTTCATCAGTTTTTGTTCTAGTGTTACTTCACTAGTGCAAGCCCTTTGCAACATAAATATGTTGCACTGGTATGTATATGTTATCCTACTATAGACAAGCCTGTAGATTAAGCTCATTATCTGATGAAGTGGGTTTTGCCCACAAAAACTCATTGTACTATAAACTTAGTCTCTAAGGTGCCACAGGGCTACCGTATTTTCCGGCGTATAAGATGACTTTTGATGTTAAAAAACATCCCCCAAAAATCGGGGGTCGTCTTATACGCCGGGTATACAGCTTTGCGGCTTTGCAAAGCCTCGGGGGAAGCCGGCGGCCGGGGCATCCCAGGGTCCCTCCTGGTGCCTCTGGTCTGCTGGGGACCGTCTCCAACAGACCAGGGACACCGTGAGCAAAGCCGGGGAGGCGGAGGGGCGCTGGGGTATAAGACGAAACCCTATCTTTTAACTAAAAAATTAGGGGGTCGTCTTATACGCCCAGTAGCCTTATACGCCGGAAAATACGGTACTTGTTATTTTTATATCTTAATTTGACTTTCTCCCTCAGTGTAGCTCTGGCCTGAATGAAGTTAAACATGTAGCAAAACTGCTTTGGCCTTGGCAATAGTGACTTGATGTAAGCATGGTTTTGGAATCCATTTATAACATGATTGGCCATGTCTACATAGACAAGAAGACTGTGTAAACGTTAAGTAAAACACAAGATGCATGCCTAACCATGAGCTCATCATGTGATCTCCCACTACTATAACCCTTATCTTCCCATACCTCTTCTCCTAGCTTTGTCTGTCAACCATTGCTGTATTGTATCTCATTTAAGGCTTGAGTATGTTAGGGAATTTTGCGCTTGTGTTACTTCACTAGTGCAAGCCCTTGGCAGTGCAAATGTGTTGCATTGGTATGCATATGTTATCCTAGTGTAGACAACCCTGTAGATTAAGCTGCTTGTAGGATTTGACAGTAAAATAAATTAATGTAAGCAAACCATGAAACATTTGGGAGGCCTCCCAGTCAGAGGCTGGTCTGAAAGATGGAGAGGGAGTACTAGTGTGGTTCAAGGCCAATACGCTGTCAAGAAGACTAGCCAGTTGTTAAAAAGGTGGAGAGGAGAGAACTGCCATATGAGATGAGACCTGTGGTTCATTCAGATCAGTGTTTTCTTTCCAGCAGTGGCCAGAACCAGATGTTTCAGAGCAAGATGTCAGGGCCCCTGTGTTGGACAGATAGAGGATAATCTGCTCCCTCTGAAGGTTTCATTCTAATCCCTAATGGTCAGAGATGGGTCTAAGCCCTGAAGCATGCAGCCAGAGAAAGTTGTATATTTGCCTCTGGAAAGTGGACATATGAGGGATGTTCAGGTGCTTAGTAAACCACTATGAACATCTCTGACTTTCTCTTTGGACAGTAAGATACTAAGACAAAAATGAGTGTAGTGAATCTAGGGTATATTCTTAAGAGTAATTTACTGTTTACTAATAGCTAACCTTTCATGATGCTCTAATTAGTATGGGAGACTGTGTCCTCTAGGCTACTTTTCTTGAAATTTCTCGCTACGGGTTCCTGCTTGTGCAGCATTGCCACTGGTAGTGCTAGTGTAGACTCTGCTGACATTTCAGCTGCTTTATTTTTTAAGGGATTTAATAGCTGGCGTGCTAGTGCTTGTATCACTGGCACAGCTGCATTGGTGGTAACCAGGAATGAGACATTCTAGTGAGTCTAAGACTGAAGAGTATGTGTACAACTATCACCCATAGTGTGGAGGCAGTTGTAGCATTGTAAAGGTACTTACATTGGAATATTTTGCTCCTGGAAGGGAAGAGAAATGAACTGTACTGGCGCAAGTCTTTGTTGACCTGCACAAGTTTTACAGGTTGTGCAAGTATAGTTATACAGTAAAACCTGTGTTATCCAGCATGCTCGGGGATTAGAGCGTTCCAGTTATCTAAAAATTCCGGTTATCTGAGGTCCCCTCAACCTCGGAAAAACCTATGGACAATAATAGTAAAACTCAAGTTTTTAATATTGGTAGTTTTGTAGTGTGAGGCAGTTGTTCTCACATTTCTATTTTGAGTTAAAGATGATTAGTACTTCTTAAATAAAAAATTGTTAAGCCAATCATGGTAAACCAAGCCAGGCCTGTGCACCTGAAGATGTGACAATATTGTGGCTGGGGGCAATGCTGGTTAACAAAGTTTTCTGGTTAACAGAGTGCCGGATAACAAAGGTTTCACTGTACCAGTATAAATCCCACTGGCTGTGTCTAGACTGGCAAGTTTTTCCGCAAAATCATTTGCTTTTGCGGAAAAACTTGCCAGCTGTCTACACTGGCCGCTTGAATTTCCGCAGAAGCACTGACGATCTCATGTAAGATTGTCAGTGCTTTTGTGAAAATACTATGCTGCTCCTGTTTGGGCAAAAGTCGTTTTCTGAAAAACTTTTGTGCAAAAGGGCCAGTGTAGACAGCAGAGATTTGTTTTGCGCAAAAAAGCCCCGATCGCGAAAATGGCGATCGGGGCTTTTTGCGGAAAAGCGCATCTAGATTGGCCACAGACGCTTTTCCGCAAAAAGTGCTTTTGCGGAAAAGCGTCCTGCCAATCTAGATGCGCTTTTCCGAAAATGCTTTTAACGGAAAACTTTTCCATTAAAAGCATTTCTGGAAAATCATGCCAGTGTAGACGTAGCCTATGTGTTTACTAGAGCATCATGAGCATCTCTGACTCTCTCTGAAGACAATAAGATTTATACGATCTGAAGAGAAACCAGAGTATTAGGGAAAAAAACCAAAGGTGCCCAAGCAATTCACAAGTGGTGGCTGTATTCTGATGTAACTTGCATTAACTGAAATTGATAGCATTGATTTGCCTTAATCATGGAGTTTGTAATGAAATGCATAAATGTGCTGTGGTGTGTCACCTGATTTTTTTTTTTTTTTTTGGACAGGGTTGTTTTGACAGAGTTGTTACACTAGCTATATTATGGATATAGGGAGTGTTGGGCCTTGAATCAATAGGCCTTCATCCTGTGAACACTTGGAAACAGGAGTAAAAGCGGTGAGTAAAGTTATTCTGGTACATAGACGTTTGCAGGATTAGGACCTTACCTTGACATTTTCACGGACAGTTCTTTGGGACAGAAGTTCCTTTTACACTGGCTGCTATGAGGCCCAAGTCCTGGTTGGAGCCTTTTATCACTAATGTAAGATAGGGTAGCAGGGGCTTGTGGCTGGGGGTCCTGCTGGTGTGGCAGCAGTGGAGCTGGCAGCCCTGCTGTAGCTGGGAGACCACCTGGTCTGGTGGCGGGGCAGGGAGCTGGCCAGGCTAGGAGCAGAGCTGGGCTTGGGGAGCAGTATCAGGGAAGCCAGAATTGACCTCCCCGGTCCAGCAAACTCCCTCATCAGCTGTCCTGAGGTTGCTGGTCCAGGGAGATCCAACCTGTACAAATGAGGTCTGCCTAACGTATTCCCACCTGATACAGCAGATAAAACAAGCTCTCTCTCACCTTGTTGTTGGCAGAGGACTGTTTTATAGACAGCTCTATAATTGAGGAACCTAGCTATATGGACTGCTGAAAGCATGTGGAGGTCAATCTTTCCCATTCATGTCTCGGCATCCTTGTGACAATTTCCTTGCTCCTTCTTTTGCTCTTGGTTCCGCCCTAATTATGAGTGAACTTGAAGATTTTGGTTTTCACTTAAGTCTGGTCTACACACAGTCAGGGGCGGCCCTAGACTACCTGCCAGCAACTGGCACCCTACATGAACCATGCAATTGGCGCCCCCATCTCCAAACCCCCCTCAGTGATGTTGCTGCACCATTTGGTGCCTCATTTAACTTGGCGCCCTAGGCGACCGCCTAGTTCGCCTGTATGCACACAATTATTTCTAATATGCTAATATGTGACCTTTTCGCTAGTATAACTGTGTGTACTCTACGGGTTGTACTACTTAACTGTAACAAAACATTTCAAAAAAACTTTGTGTAGATCAGCCCTTATAAAGCTCTGAATGGCTTAGGACCTACGTATTGGTGAGAAATCTCTTGCTTTGAACTATACTGCCAAATCTGTATTCAGTGGAGATGCTCTGGTTAGAGCTTGTGGATATCAAAAGTCAGCAAGCTGTTTCTGTGAAAGGACACTGCTCTCCCTGGTTTGAAATAGCCTACATTTGTTGACCGTCGCTGGATGTTGCAGACTCATCTGTTTACCCAGGCTTTTGGGAATGGAGGGATGTGATAAGGGCTGGTATTTGTGGCAGTGGGGTGGTGTTTGAGTTTTGAGTCTGTCATATTTTTTCGTTTTGAGGGGAGGAACATCTGCTGGTTCAGGTTTTTTTTTCCCCTTACGTATGATTTTTTTTTTTTTTTTTTTAAACAAAAGTCCTGGAATTCGAGGTGAGCTATATACCACCTCTGGTTACTGCTACCAGTGTGCATGTATATGAATCCATAATTGGATTGTGGTGTGAGACTTACCAGTTGTCAGCCAGCATTTCTGGTGGGAGACCACAATAGAAGGAGATGCCCCCTGGTCTGTGACCTCTGTTTATAACCCTTTTCCTGGGTTAGTTTCAAACAATGCATGCCTGTGTAGTTGATTCTGTCCTTGTAGCATGGTGCCTAATTTAATAACAAGACTGAATTTGTTTTGCCCTGTTGAGAAATAAAATGCATTATGACGTCACTGAAATATTAATCAGACTGAAGTAAGCAGCCAGCTAAGTCAGCCAGCAGATGATTAGTTAGCTTGTGTGTCTGGTGGAGATGACAATTTATATTTAAATAAATCCCCCTCCCCCAAGATTTTAAATGACCTAGCTTCATTGTGCTTTTCAGTAGCTTCATCTGTAATTGGATGATCTTTTGTTTTATACCCTTCTCCTCCTCCCTTCCTCCTTTTCTGCTTTTGTTTTTTGCCCTTACTTGCTACATTTTGTTTAAATTAGATTGTAAAAGGTTAAGAGCAGAGACCATGTTGTCTTTTGTTTGCAGGTCCCAACTGGGGCTTTCTGACACTAGCACAATATACATAATTTTAAGTAGTTCAGCATTCAGAATCTTTACCATTCAGTTTTCCACTCACATTAGACTGTCAGTTGGAAGTATTCCATGAACAACACATCTGCTTGTGGCATGTTGTAGTCAGCGTGCATATCTCAGCAGGAGGGTGTTCTCTCTGTCTGATGAATACAGGCAAGGTATGAAATCTTCCTCTCTATGGAAAACATATTGTCTCACTGGTGTATAATTTATTTTTATGTCTAGCATTCCGGAACCCCTCTCTCTTTCATGTTGCCCTCCCAGAAAGATGTTTTTTCAAAATAACTGCATTATATGAAAGAGACTTTTATACGGAAAAGGAATTTCAAATCTGTACTAATTTATGAATACAGGCAAGGTATGAAATCTTCCTCTCTATGGAAAACATATTGTCTCACTGGTGTATAATTTATTTTTATGTCTAGCATTCCGGAACCCCTCTCTCTTTCATGTTGCCCTCCCAGAAAGATGTTTTTTCAAAATAACTGCATTATATGAAAGAGACTTTTATACGGAAAAGGAATTTCAAATCTGTACTAATTTAAACTTGTTTAGTTTTGTTGCATCTTATTCCACTTTGGTCATAGTAAAAATCTCTTGATTTATAAAAACAAAATCAATATATTACTGTAAATAAACTGCAGTTATGATGTGATATTAAAGTTGTGTATGGGTAAATAATGGGTATGTGCCTCTTTATTTTTTCCTGCTTTATGAAGAAAGTCTGAAATATTTGTTTTCTCTTAAGAATATCCTGTCTTGCCTTCCCTGTTTTTTCTGGGAGATTTCTTGGAGGGCCAGACAGCTGGAGTGGGAATTTTTCTCCCAAATGTGTGTCAGATGTTTGAATTATACAGGTATTAACAAAAGCAAGCAAACCAAGAGTTTTAAGCTATTGGATGACAAGCCCCTTCCCCTCTCATGTGCCCAGTTTTTTCTTTCTGGTGTTGTGGTTATACTCATTCTCCAGTGCCGTGTCTTCTAGGAAAATAACAGAGGAGACAAGATCTGAATTTCTAATGTGAAAAATGAGGACCCTGACAGCTCTTCCTCCACCTCTGACTTTTTTTTTTTTTTAAGAAAGCTGTCTGCTTTACTTTACATAGTATGGCTTTAGTAGAAAGCAGACAAGCGCATATAGATGTTCTTTGCCATTTATCCTATTAAGTTCTTTAAAATAAAAATATGTATGCTTTTTTCTGCATTGTAAACCGTATCTTATATATTGTGATATACATCAGAGCTTAGATGTGATTGGTGACTGGTAATGGGTACTCTACAAATAAGTATCCATTCTTTTTTTTTTCATAGGGGTTGTATTTTCTTTTCAAGTACCTTTCCTCCTCTCTTTATGCTACTTCTTATTTGGAAGTATTTTAATAAGCACCATGCAGCATGCATTGTTACTCTTCTGTCAGTTTCTACCAGAGGACACCTTAGATCAGTGGTTCTCAAACTTTTTGGCACATGGCCCAACTTGGCTCAACACAACCCTTTCTGTGGACCACCAGCCAACAACCTATGATGACAAAATGGGTGCAGCAGGGAGTGATGGTGCGAAGTAGAGTTCAGGCTGGCCCACTGACGGGGAGAAAGGGTGTGATTGCCCTGCTGCCCAGCCATTGTGGAATCTCCATCCCTGGAGATATTTAAGAGCAGGTTGGACAGACACCTGGCAGGGATGATTTAGATGATGCTTGGTTCTGCTGTGAGGGAAGGGCCTGGACTTGATGACTTCGCGAGGTCCCTTCCGGTTCTAGTATTCTCTGATTCAAAGGAGCCTGGAGCTCCTTGGAACTGTTGTGGGAGTGCCGGAGTACCACTCCACATAGCTTTGAGGGCTAGGGAGGACCAGAATAATGGTCTGGGCGGTGCTAAGGATTTACTGCCCTAAGACCTGCTTTTTCCAACGGTGTGGAGCTGCCACCCACCTTGTGGCTGTTGGCCCTGCTGGGTGCAGGAGCAAGCTGAGGGTGGGGGGTCTAGGTGGGAAGTTTGGTGCAGGAGCAGGCTGGGGGTAGGGTGAAGGGGAGGGTGCAGGAGCAAGAGAGGTTCCAGAGTATGGCTAGGAATAAGGGTGCGGGATTTTGGGGGCATTATGCAAGGGGGATGGGAGTTCGGGGTCTGAGCATGAGGCCAATGGGGGGGGGGGGGTTGTGCTTTCCCGGCTTTGCACCCTCTGCCACTCCCAGACATCGCTTTCTGCTTCTCCCATTGGCCATGATTCCGGCTAATGGGAGCAGCAGGGAAAGTCTCCAGGCAGCAAGTCCCTGCACTGCCGTTGCCCCCCAACCGGGGCAGGGGGAGTGGCAGTGCATGGAGCCCTTTGCTCCCACTGCAAGCTGGATCCTGTGGTGAGGCTCAGGGATGTCTTTCCCCCTCACTCCCCAGCAAGAAGTTGGGTCTGGTGCTTCAACCTTGCAGGGGGATGTTGCAGGGTTGGAGCGCCAGCGTGGGCTCCCCACTGCAGATGGGAGGGGGCTGAGCCTCAAGCCGCAGCTCACCTGCAAGGCAGTGTAGACCACAGATTGAGAACTACTGCCTAAGAAGTTTATAGAAAAATCGTGGTAGCATCAGCAGCACCATTCTACCAAGAATTACTTTGGGCTCCTGGCCAGATTCAAGGGAGCAACCATAACCAGCAACCTTATTGATGAGAACAAAATCAGCCTGCGTATATCCTGGGAAATGTAACATAAGAATACATGTAATTTGGCTCCAAGACGTCTTCCCAAGGCACACTATATTAGTTTAGCAGTAACTAGCTTTCTGGAGGTAGTTCTTTGGTTATATTTGCATGTGATGTCTCTCCTGATATAGATATTTCTACTCTTCTAGAATCAGAGTTCCTAGAATTATTGGACTAGCTTCTATAGTTTCTTTGGATCATATCATCCTCTAACAATACAGGCTGAACCTGTCTAGTGCGGCACCATCGGGACCTGACCAGTGCCGAATCAGAGATCAGTATTGTCTAGTAGCAATATCAACACTTCCACTGCTTACTGGACTCTTAGAAGACATTTAGGGCTAAATTGGAGTTAAATACCAGCACAGAACCCTGAGAGCCATGATTGGTAGCTGTAAAAAAAATTGATGGGACTGTGGAGAAACTTGACAACACCCAAGACAAGTGAACATCCAGCTAAATAAAATCATGCTGGACCATGGATGTTGCTGGGCCAGAGTGTGCCGGAATAGAGAACATAAGAAAAGCCATGCTGGGTCAGGTCAGTGGTCGATCCAGCCCAGTATTCTTCCTGCCAACAGCGGCCAATACCAAATGCCCAGAGGGAGGGGATACAAGTAATCCTCACGTGATGCCTCCCCTGTCACCCACCTCCAGAGAAACACTGGATAGGGATACCATTCCGACCCATCCTGGCTAATAGCCATTGATGGATCAACCTGTAGTGACTGTCAAATCATTTGCAAAGAAGCTGTTTCTTGGAGTTGTGTAAGTAGCAAATGATGAACAGTGCCAGCTGCCTGGTGCAAATGGCAATTGTTGGTAGTATTAAAGAATAGCTTTCTGGTCTCTGAGAAATCATCTAGCTCTAGAAAGGGCAACTGGGCAGCAAGCATCATTATAGATGATGTTGTGGTTGGTGTCTGCTATAGACCACCGGAGCAGGTAGACGAGGCTTTCTTTAGATAACTGAGAGAAGCTTCTGGATCGCGGGCTCTGGTTCTCATGGGGGACTTTAATCACCCTGATATCTGTTGGGAGACCAGTACAGCAGGACACAGACAATCCAGGAAGTTTTTGGAGAATGTTGGGGATAACTTCTTGGTACAAGTGCTGAAGGAACCAACCAGGGGCCATGCACAGCTTGACCTGCTGCTCACAAACAGGAAGGAACTAGTAGGGGAAGTAGAGGTGGGTGACAACCTGGGAAGCAGTGATTATGAGATGTTAGATTTCAGGATCCTGACCAAAGGAAGAAAGGAGAGTAGCAAAATACGCACCCTGTACTTCAGAGGAGCGAACCTAAACTCCCTCAGAGAACTGATGGGCAGGATTCCCTGGGATGCTTACATGAAGGGGAAAGGAGTCCAAGAGAGCTGGCAGTATTTTAAAGAAGCCTTATAAAAGGCACAGGAAGAAACCATCCCGATGCGCAGCAAGAAAAGCAAATATGATAGGCGACCAGATTGGCTTACCGGGGACATCCATGGTGAGCTTAAACACAAAAAGGAAGCTTGCAAGAAGTGGAAACTTGGACAGACGACTAGGGAGAAGTATAAATATATTGCTCGAGAATGCAGGGGAGTTATCATGAAGGTGAAAGCGCAATTGTAATTGCAGCTAGCAAGGGATGTGAAGGATAACAAGAAAGGTTTCTGCAGGCATGTTAGCAATAAGAGGGTGATCAGAGAAGGTATGGGGCCCTTACTGGATGAGGGAGGTAACCTAGTGACAGATGATGTGGGAAAAGCTGAAGTACTCAATGCTTTCTTTGCCTCTGTATTCACGGACAAGGTCAGCTCCAAGGTCAGCAATGCAGTAGTATGGGAAGGCGGTGGGCAGCCCTTGGTGGAGAAAGAACAAGTTAAGAACTATTTAGAAAAGCTAGACATACACAAACCTATGGGTCCAGATTTAATGCATCCAAGGGTACTGAGGGAGTTGGCAAATGTCATTGCAGAGCCTTTGGCCATTATCGTTGAAAACTCATGGAGATTGGGAGAGGTCCCATACGATTGGAAAAAGGCAAATGTAGTGACCGTCTTCAAAAATGGATGGACAATCCAGGGAGCTACCGACCAATCAACCTCACCTCAGTCTTTGGAAAAATCATGGAGGGGATCCTCAAAGAATCAATTTTGAAGCACTTGGGGGAAAGGAAAGAAATCAGGAATAGTCAAAATGGATTCATGAAGGGCAAGTCATGCCTGAGCGACCTGACTTGCCTGACTGACAAGGTAACTGGCTCTGTCGAAATGGGAAAGGGGGTGGACATGAACTACCATGACTTTAGCAAATCTTTTGATATGGTCCCCCACAGTATTCTTGCCAGAAAATTAAGGAAGTGTGTGCCTGACCAATCGGATGAGCTTCTATGATGAGGTAACTGGCTCTGTGAATATGGGAAAGTCAGTGGATGTGATGTGTCTTGACTTTAGCAAAGCTTTTGATACGGTGTCCCACAATATTCTTGCCAGTAAGTTAAGGGAATGTGGATTGGATAAATGGACGGTAAGATGGCTAGAAAGCTGGCTAGACTGTCGGGCCCAGCGGGTAGTGATCAATGGCTCAATGTCAGGTTGGCGGTCAGTTTCTAGTGGAGTGCCCCAAGGATCTGTTCTAGGACTGGTTTTATTAATC